ACGCCACTGTCAAATTCCCAATGAGTGAGAAAAAGCAACCAAGTATTTTGCATTTCGTTTGTAATACTTCGCGTAACTTTGAGTTGATCAATGTCCAAATTTCTCCACTGAAATTTTTTAGCGACCGCTGTTCTATAAAATAATTTTGACAAACATTTAAAATAACTTTTCTTTATATATTTGAATAATTTAATTATAAAATAGGATGATTTTTATATAAATTAAAATTATAATTAAATACTTCTGAAGTTAGAAAACTATTGCAATTTTTTAAATTTTTAATTAAAAAAAATATATATATTTTATACACATGTATGATGACAATCATATTTTCGATAATAACATTTAATATAGGCTACAGTACAATGGAATATTAATAATTACTTCCAAAAATATTTAATTTAAAATAAAATTTTAATTAGAAGTTTAACTATCAATAAAACATTAAGTTTAATGCCTAAATTTCTCCAGATGATTCTTATCTTTTCTTGGTTTCACGAAATTGCGCAACTGTAGAACTTCCTCTACAATACAAATGAGTAAACTTATCTCCTTCAGGAAGTAACTGAAGGAGATAAGTTTCAGGAAGTAACTGAGGATGGGAGCGGAATATGTATCTCAATTCAGAATTGTTACCACCTTATTATTTATCAGAAAAGTGCAACAATTTATTATATTTACTTAGTATTAATAATTTAGCTAATTTGAAATTTAGTTCAGATGAGCCAGCTCATTGTAATCACTTTGGGGTATGCCTAAACTAATGACAAAAACTGATAAGCGGGGTACGTAAATAAGACTATAATTAGTCGAAATCCTGGTTTTATACCGATTCTAACAATAAAAAAAGTTATGTTAGAACAATTAAAAACTGTATAACTTAAAGATTTATTCATTATTAATATTATTAATTTGTATGTTTTGTGACATGTAATTTAGATAAAATTATGTCTAATTGTTTTTAACAATGATCCATTTTGGTGTAAAAATATTCTTTTCTTAAATGAATTATCACAAATTAACTTTTGCATTTGAAATTACGATATTAGATTTATAAGATATTCTTACTTAAATACAAAACAATAGTTAACATTTATTGTCCTCTTATTATCTTGCATAAAAGTTAAATTATTTGGAGTGTTAGAGCAAAATTTTTAAATCAAGAAGATAACAATATTAGTCATAAAAACAAAAACTTAATAATAACAGAAACAGAAACTACTTTATAAAATGAAAACTTACTAATAGGAACAAAAGAAAATCTAATATGCATTATAAAATTAATAATATTATTTTAAGACGATAAATTTCTAAGAATAATACACTGAAACAGGTTCTTCGCATTTATTTAAACTTAACATTACAGGTAACCCCCGTATAACACGGTACTTCTATAGCACGGATTCGCTCTAACACGGTTCGAGAATTGCTACCATCCCCCGTATAACACGGTACTTTTATAACACGGATTCACTCTGACACGGTTCGAGAAATGGGTAAAACCCTCGTACAACATGAAATGTAATAAATTTTTACATACTTAAGTACTAATAGTTCACGAAAATTATTATTTTCGTGAACTATTAGTACTTCAGTGTGTAAATTTTCTTTTCTCGTCTCCATACACATGGTCCTTCGCGAAAATTGTTTCAATTTTGCCAGATCTCGACGCTTCTGCTTCTGGTGTTGCCAGATGTTTTTCCCTTATTCCATAAGTGCTTAGCACCATATAAGGAAATTTATAAAGATCTTTTAACTAGAAGCAAGCAATCTAAAATTACATACACTTTTTGCAAAAGGTAAAGCATGAATCTGAAAATAATGCAGAAAATGCTCAAAGGATAACGATAACTTGCCAAAAAAAAAACGCTCTCGGTTAATAGTGCTTTTAGTGGTGACAAAGAAAACATTGTTTAATTTATATTACTGTAATATGTATCACTTAAGAAAATTTTAATAAAGATATTTATCTTAATTATGAAAATATAGTAGCATGTTTTTTAATTTCTGGAACCTAACCCTCCTTTTCGTACTAGTTCTTTGTTTCGCATAACACGGATTCACATAACACGGCAATTTTTTAGAACGTAACTACCGTGTTATACAGGGGTTACCTGTATACATAAATTATATCAAATAATAATAAATAAAATAAAAATACTTAAAATTAATAAAACTAACTTTTAAAAATTAATATATTTTTTATTTTATAATTTACAAAAGAATAATAATAATAATACACAAAAATACTTTTAAAATACTTTTAAAAAAAGCTTTACATAAAGTTTAATATAAAATTTGTCTTGGAATATTGTATTAGCAAACATTGGATTATGCCAATGCTATATCTAAAAAATTACGATAATTCAAATTTTTCTAACATTAAAATATATTGTTAATTAAACTTTTCCTGTATAAATACATTTTTTTTTCTCGTTTCACTTCTAATTGTTATGAGTTAAATCATTGCAATGATAAAATTTATAACACAATGCGTTATTATAATATTATAATGCAATAATTTCAATATCACCACGATCATCATCCTTAATTTAATGGTAAGAAAGATGTTAAATTATTAATTTACAAAAAAAAAAAACAAATTAAGTCAACTTTGTATTCATTTTCCGACGGAAGTAATTTCCCACAAACCTTTCTGCCCTTTGGGGAGAACGAACCTTTTTGTGAACGGGTAGTAAAGTATGGGACCCCCAAAAAATTCCTGGGTTTTTTCGACCGTCCGAAATCGATCTTGATTCCTTCAGATCGGTAAACAGTCACCTTACCCGTCCGTCTGCCTAAAATATATTGTCACTTTGTGTTAATTAGAGTCTTTTGCTTAGAAAAAGTTAAAAACTCCAGTTTTAATACATTCGAATGGAAATAATTATGACTGTAGCAAATGTTAATCAATAATTGCCTATCCACTTAAAAAATTCAAACTAAAAAGAAATTTATAGTTAATAGCAAAATTTCTCAGATACAGTTTTAAAAATTTATTTAAAAATTTATCCATCGCTACATTAAATAAAACTATGGTTAAATAACAAAATTACACCAGAAAAAGGAAAGCTCATTAAAGCATATTTACATTGAAATGAATATTTTTGATTTTATAATAAATTATTTCAGAGATTTATGGCATCTTCATATAACAATACACCCTATATTGTATAGTGCTGTACATGTGTAATGGCTCGGAAGACAGATAACAAATTTAAAGTTCATTTACTTGAAGATATTAACAGAATTTACAAATTCTATACGAGATCTTCCCCGTTCATTAAACAATTTACAAAATGGAAAATAATATGCATTCTTTCAAATTGGATTAAACCATTTTACTAATTATTAACTTATAATAATTATAAATATTCTTGGTTGATTGAGTTTTAGGCCATTCTTTACTATTGTACATATAATGAATAAAACAATATTAATATTAACATATAACATGTAACTTTTTGTTGATAATTCTTTTTAATTATTTGCTGTATAGGAAAGTTGATAAAACACTTTTTCATTTAGTGTTTAGGACATACTCTCCCTCCTTTCCTCTCCCAATTCACATAAAGATACTTTAAAAATATTTAAAAAATAAAAATAATAATAAATATCGATAGCAAATGAACATAAATTAAAATAAAAAGTCAAGAATTTAATTAATAATATATTACTTGTTAACAACTTAATAATCTTATTGTTGTTAAGAAAAAACTTTCAGATATCTCTCATTTGATTCAGATAATAACTTCTCTTACGCAATTTATACATAAACTATAAATAAATTTGATATTTAAAATAAATAATCATATAATATCTGGAGAATTATCAGAACTTTTCATTTTTGCTTTTCAATCAGCTGTGCATCTTTCAGAATTCTGAAATTTAAATACATCAGATATTGTATTGTAATTCTCTCATATTTGAGGTAAGTCAATTACTTCAACAGATAAATTGCATTCTTGACAATACTTTTAGCTAAATAATATTAAATATTTAGAGTTTAAATTTTTTAAAATAAACCATTTTTAAATAATTTATTTCATAGTAATCATAAATAAAATATTTCTGAAAAATTGCAATTTATTACTTATTAAATAATTTATGTTATAGTAAGTGGAAGTTAAAGAGAAAACACAATTATTTGAATTAATAGATGAAACTGAAGTTAATTAATAGCATTAAATTGAACCAATAAAAATCTGGTTTGCTAAAAAATATTTCAAAAATAAAAATAAAATTTATAAAAAATGAAATATTAAATATATAATAATTTGTTAATTTTGCTTTTTCTTTTCTTTTTTTTTTTGAGTGACTTCAATTCATCCCTTTAAATCGCAACTTGCATTAATTTAAGATGAAATTGTAGTATGCGTCATCGGTAACTAGAAAATTAACTATTCTATTAATTGACTGCAGTCTATAAAAATAATTTGTTAGTATAAAAGTATAATAAAAGTCTAAAAATTACAACTAAATTTTGTATAAAGTGGATAGATTTATAATTTTTAGTTATATGAAATACTATTTTTATCTCTTTAAGATTAAAAAAAAACATTTCAATTTATAAATTGGCTCATACACTTACATTTAACAATTCATAGTTTAATAAACAAAAAGAAAATTACGTTTTATTAAATGGAATTTCTTATAAGTGTAGCCTATTATTTATATAATAAATAATTAATTTATGGTTTAAAGGATTAGAAATAAGATAATTTTGATACTATTTATACATTTGTCATGAGAACAATAAAATTTAATTATGATAAATCTATTAAAATATTCAAAAAAAAAACTAAAATAAAAATGCATATACTACTTACCTAATGCTTGTTATGATAACCACAAGAATTAAAGAGTTAATTTTAAGATCTCTAGTGGTTAACCTCAATTATAATTTAATCTAGTTAATAATAATAACATCGGGTTTATTGATTAAATTATAGTTCAAAATTAAAATTACGGATTCAAATAGAAAACAATTAGTTTTATAATCAATTTATTGATTTTTTCCTGTTATACATTGTTCTCTTTCTACAAGACATAAGAGGAAATGCTCAAGAAAAGCGAATGAGTTTCCCGAATCCGAACTTTCTGTTAGCATGATATATTTCCATAAAATCCTTCTAAATGTAATATATTATCGATTGGAAAATAACTGAAAATTCTTTGGAACAATTAGACTCATCGTTCTTCAAAATATATTTTCAGCTCCATTTTCACATTCATTTTAATAAATGCAGCACATCAAATTTAAACCTGTGTATAAGAAAAATATAAAGTTAAAATCCATGTAAATTATGCATTTAATCCGTAATAGAAAAATTTATTAGAATTTTGTAACTCTGTAATAAGAATTTAATAAAATTCAATATATAGGCGCATAAAAATAATTAAAAGCAATATTTTCCTTTCTAATAAGTTGAATTAATGTTCTTTGAATTTAATCATTTAAACTAATGATTTAAATGATTAAATACAATTTATTTTACTAATTTATTATGGAACTCGTCACATAGTTTTGATGTTCTAATAAATGTAAGGAGGAATATGTTTAGTTGAATGTTGACTCACACTTTCAAATAAACGACACGACAAATTATTATTTTCTTGTATTTAAATTGTCATGTTCACACGCACGGAAAAAATAGACAACCACACGATCGACCGATAATCTGAAAGGAATGTTTGTCGTGTTTGTGCGTGGCTTTGACGTGCAGGTGCAGTATAGATTTTTTAAAAACTCTTTCCACCCTGTGGATACTAAAAGGGCCTCTTTTAGCAAGCCCATTACGAGTTCGGCCAGACCCACAATGGGGCGGCCGGGTGGTGAGAGACAGGGCACGACAATCTGGATGGACCACCACCCGAAAAATTCCTAGGAATTTTTCGACCTGTCGGGATTTGATCTCGGGTTCCCAGAGCAGAAGGCTCGATCTTGACCACTCGGCCATCCGGCCGTTTATTGTGAACGATTACAGTATAACGATACAAAATATAACGTATCTTTACAATCCGAAACACATAAATACAACGCATCTTTACAATCGTGACGCACTGAATCGCAAATTCAGTGCGGATTGTAAAGATACGTTATACTTTTTATTTTCGAAAAATAGACTGTGAAAAATTAATAGAATTTGTACGTGAATATCCAGAACTTTATGATATGTCTCATCTAATGTATAGAGATAACAATCGGAAAAAAGTATTTGGTTTAGAATAGGAAAAAAAACTAGGACAGGTAAGTTTTAGTTATATTTTATTTGAATAATAATTACTCATAATCTGATTTTAAATGAGTAATGCCAAATGATCTGCTGAAAATTATCAGGCTGGAATGGGACTATTGTATTGTTAAGTTTTAGTTATATTTTATTTATATAATAATTACTCATAATCTGATTTTAAATGAGTAATGCCAAATGATCTGCTGAAAATTATCAGGCTGGAATGGGACTCAAACTCACTCTGGTCTGATTCTTTTCTTCCACAAATTTCTAAATTAAAAATTAATGTTAGATGGTGACATATCTGCCTGCTTCTAGTCAAATTAATGAATAATTAATCATTAACGTAGCACAAAAATAGCTGATCATTTGGTGTTATATTTTATTTTCATTGAAAATAATATTTTAAAATTAAGTGCCATTAATGTTCAAATTTGTTAAATGTCCTTGAAAATTTTTAGGTGAGTCCTTATTTGAGTTTGTTAAGTGTTTGATCTGATGATGAGATGAAACAGTCTTGAAAAACATTTAATTGAAAATAAATAGGTTGACTGTTTGAATTTTTATTGCAATTGTTTCTAGAGAATTTGATCAGGTATCAGCATTATTCTAGCCTAGAAATTGATATGCAGATTTCTTTTAATTTTTTTATTAAAATTAACTACATCAATTTTAAATTTAAATAATTTTTCTTTTATTGAAAGGTCNATATTGTATAAAAAATTGTATTAAACCGCAAACGTATTGCCTTGCCCTTCAACACGGCCATGTTCAGACGAAAAAAAACCTGTAAATTTCTCGTACTTAAAATAAAAATCCATTGTCTTGGTATATTCAATAAATTATTCATAGAAACAATGCTAAATTATCTGTTTTATTAAGACGATTTCTAATAAAGTTATGTAAGATGCAAGTTGTAAAAATTATTTTATCTGCATTTTTTGGATGTAGCATTAATCTTCTGTGGTACAGTACATACAATCTAAACTATTATCAATAGAAAGTATACCAAATCTATCTTCACTAACATTTCTCGCTCACGAAAGTCTACAGGTCTAGTTAAAATTTTTTACCTACGTCTCCATTAATTTGTAATCCCGGATTTGATCTTAAGAAACACGTGTTTTAATTGGAAAACCTCATCCCCAATTACGTAAGATGCTGTTTCATTTGTTTTAGGTAAAAAGTCATCTTTTGGTATATTACATTTATGATTTTCTAACAGTTCTAACAATTTCTAACAGTTTCTAACAATTCAGAAGGAGCAAAAGTTACTCCATTACTATTTTTTCCATAAGATCTTATATTTACAGTGAAAAATACTTATTATCGAACAACAATAGAAAACATTTTCTTATAATTAAAAAAATTGTGATTTACTATTTGATGGAGCTTCTGTAACCATATATTTTCCACCAATAACTCCTACACAATTTGAAAAGCTGCATAAATTCCAAAACTCAGAAGCAATCTTTTTCCATAAACTTCGGTTGGAAATGGCATCACTTCAGACTGAAGCTTTGTAATGATTGCAGCGCATCATCAATAATATATTTTACAGTAGAATGTCCGAGTCTGAAACTAGTAGTTATTGTCCTGTAAGAGTCGTCTGTTGCCAAAAACAGTATTTTAATTTTGTTTTTGTTTGGGCCAGACTGCAAAAAAGAAAGTTTGATTAACTTAAAAGATTCCTTCCGAAAAACCTTTAAAAGGAGGAGAGATACAAGTGATAAAGCCAGCTCCAAAATTCGGAAATGGAAATATAAAGAGCAAATATCGTTTTAGATTCCATATTTTCAAGAAAGAGAAACTCTTCATAATATTCCAGAAGAGTTAGTTGAAAACGGTAAAAATTCCGAAAAATCCTAAGATACACAAGATGCGGAGGGGATTGTAATAAACAATCAGGAAACTTTGTTCCATAGAAATACTTCTACAGGAGTACGAAAAATTGGCTCGAAACAACGAACAATCAAAATGCAAACAAAAACAAAACATTGTGTCATCAGTTTTAATGGACTATATCGTAAAAAATAAGGAAAAAAATTGAAGTTAACTCGAAGGAGTTAAAAAAGCAATAAATGCAATTTTACTAGCATGGCACAGACTATTAAAAAATTCTCTAATTTTAATCAAAATTTTTGAAATAGTTTCAAAATTGAATTAGTAGAAATTTTATCCGAAAATAAAACTTCAAATATAAACTCGAATTAGAATATCCAATAGTTTACATGCGTAAATTGGAGTCCATCGCTTAAAAATACAAACCCAAACTGGAACATTCAACAATTTACAAAATTAAATTCCAATATGCCTATCTAAAGTTCCAGTATTCTGAAAGAAATGTCACAAGGAATGAGTACTATCAACAGCCAGAATCATCATCGTCATGTACAGTACTATACATGAAAATTTATTTCCAGAATCATATACTTAATTATCAAATAAAGAGAAAGATTTTTCCCTTTTTAAATTTTACGTTGTATTTTTATTATTGTTTTATTTTCAAACAAACTAAGTGTTTATATTTATTAATAGCTTTATAAAATTTAGTTATAATAAAATAATTAATTTCATTGGTAGTTAGTTTAGATGATCAAAGTATTGTACTAATTTGTTAATGAAAGTTTTACAATTAATAAAATACAGAAATAAATTGCTAATTTTTCTCTAAATAATGTACTATTTTTCTTTAAATCAACTGTAATTTCATCAAGTAAATAATAAAACTAGTATTTCGACACTAAAATACCGATAAAATTTCGTTTTATCATCAATTAAATCTTTTTATAAATTCTGATATTCTCTATTTTGCGTTGATTCGACATTTTGGAGACACTAACAAGTTTTATTTTGATTTGGTGTTCATCTTTATCAAGTAACACGGCTATTATATCCAAGTCATCGGTAGAAATATTTCTAAACATATTTAGATAGTTTATTTTGTTGCGTTGTAGTCGTTACTTGTCTGATAATGTAAATATTCCATAATTTGTCGTGTCGTTGCCTATATGTGTCCTGCAGTTTTCTTGTTTGATAGTGTGAATCCAGCTTTAGTTAGTATAAAAATCTTTACTTTTAAGATGTGAATTAATCTAATTAGCTAATAATTGCAGTTGCTTATTTGGTTGTTTGAATAAATAACTTATAAAATGAAGTTATTTATTCGTTCCCTTTTAAACTATTAATAATTATATCTTAGTTCTCAGTTTTATTTGGGTAATGTTTATCATCATTAACAGGAACGTTTTTATTTATTGAATTAATATATTTCAATTAAATTAACACTTGCCCACTTGNTAAAATAAACTGGCTATACTGGTACATACATACATACATACTTTATTTTATATTCTTATTACATTGTATTTTCTCAATAAAAAATAATTTGTTTCAAAACTGCTATGAGGATTGAGTTCAGTTTAATTTATTTAGTGAATTTCATTTTCTTGGATAATGGTGACAAATTGAAAGTAGTATTAATAGAATTGTGTGTCAGGTTTAGCAAATAAAATTCCAAATTAATTTCATATTAAAAGTATGGTATCACATTCTTTAAAAACATCATGTTTCAATATCAGAATCCCAATAAAAGCATAAAGTTGTTAGTAGCTTCTATATTTTACTAGTCAAAATGAAGGATATTGGACTGTTTTTAGAGGGTTGATGGTTCAGATCTCATGTTATCTTTATTTTGTCTTCAGCATTTGTAAAAATAAGTTAATCTGGTAACCAACTTTATATCATGTTTTATAATATTTCTGAGGCTTTTGTAACTTATTGTTGAAATTCAGAATTTTTATTTTGGCTAGTATTGATTATTATAGGATTGTCTCTCTCTAATTATGTATGTCCTTGAGTTTGTACAGTGGAAGAATAATTATGTTCAGTAGAAAATATAATAAACTTGGGAAAAAATTAGAAACCTATTCCCTCAAAATATATTCCATTTCTTACTTATATTAGAATTTAAAGTGAAATTTGTAGGTAGAATATTTACATTTACATAAATGGTTAAGTTTAAGAGCAAAAATGAACTGTAATACATATAAAAATACTAGTTACATTAGAAGGAAGAATAACCACAGAAATCCATATGCAAAGATGATGATTNAATATTATAACATTATGAAAATAATAGAACAATAATTCTTAAATTGATAAAAACAAGACTTTAAAATTAAATGGTATTAATTAAAGTAAACTATCTTGCAAAGAAAAGAGAGGTTTTATAATAATTGCATTTGAACTTCACTTCTATTTGTAATAATCTTTTAGAAACTCTTAGGTAAAAAAATTCTTTCTGAAAAAATAAAAAAAAGAGAAAAAAGTTTTAAACTTTGTATTTCATTTGATAGGCTATACTGTATTCAGTTATCCATTATATATCTATGAAGTTTCTTAGAAATTTAAACATAAATTAGTGAATCAGTAGGAAGTGTGTTGCTTTGTGAATGTGAGAGAATATCCTTATTCAGCCCATAAAAGTGTTAAAGAAATCATCTCAATTAATTTCTATCAATTTATCTCTTCTAAAACTTTTACATCATTTTTTAAATTTAAATACAGAGTAGAAATTTTAATAATTTATTCATATTTTGATTATGTAATAATTTATATTTATTTTATCAAATTTGAATAAAAAATATGCAAAAATGCAATTTGTAAATTCATTATTAAAATTTTAAAAGTTATATTTATTTTTCATAATTTATAGGGCTGTTAACAAAATACAAATTATAAAAAACAACATAATCAATATAAAATTGATTATAACTATTTTTCTTATTGATTGAGTGCACAAGATTTTTCTAAAATTCGTAACAGAATGCAAAAATTGTTATATAAATTATAACTGTACATTATACTTTAAACAGTTTCTGGACACGGAAAATTTAATGCATAATTTACACATTGACTATGATTCCCTGAATTGATTACTAATCATTATGACTCAAACTGTGAAGAATGCTTTTATAAGATTGATAATCTTATATATTTTGTGTATATGTAAGAAATATGGAACTAAAATTTCTGTGAATTCAGCCAAATTATAATAATTAAGAATATTTTATTGAACCAATGAGAAGAACAGATATATATATATATGAATTAATTGATATCTATGATGTCTATATTCCATTCTAGGAGTTTATTGAATTTACATTATTTTATTATTTTTTATTTGTAACTTTCTTCTTTTATAATCTATGGTTTAGTGTTTATTATGAAATCGCTATACCTGGTTTGGTTATACAAAATACTGATTACAAAATAGTCATTGCAGTGTATGCTTATGACTTCCAAATCATTCTATCTTTCTTTACTTTTGATGAAAAATGAAGCTAATCTGGATTATATAGTCAAATTGATGAACAATACATCAATTTGTCTACAAACAGCAGAATAAGAAATATCCTTTAATATATATTCTGTCTTATTCATTAAATTATTTTCTTTAAAATGCAAGTAAATAGATACATATATAAAAAATAAGTATTAAATATTATGTCCATGTTTCTCTCAGAGATTTCATATCACAACCAACTGAACTGTCAAATTAATTAGTCAGTTTTTGTGAATTAAATTGAGAAGTTAACTCCAAAGATTTAAAAATTTTTAATACAAAATATTCAAGAATAGTTTTATAAAGTAATGCATATACAATATTTTCATTTCACTAAACAAGTTTTGAAATTTTATCTTCATCATCAATGATTGCAAAATTAAAAAAAAAATGAATTAAGATAGATCAGAAATAAGAAAATGATATATTTATAATATACATTCTACCAAGTATTGATAATATGTAAGTAGGTGATGTAAGTTTATAAAGCAAGTCTGGCACTATTACCTAAGATAATCTGATCCCATAGTTAATTGTTTATAATGTATCTTGTGATGATATTATTTAAAAATATAATTTTATTATTTAATGCAAAATATCTGTTGAGTATATTAACAAATTAAAAATTTTATTAAAGTTTTAGTTTTTATTGAATTCATTTAATTTTGAATTTTGAGTTAATAATATGTTTAAAGTGGAAAAATGTTTAGAATATATTAAAGCTTCTTAAATCCAATGTAAATTATATTACCAATTATTAGAAGATATAAATACTGAAACCATGCAACAGATTCAAACTTTGAGGAAAATTAGTTGCTTTATCATTGAAATCCTTTCTTTATATCAAATGTCCTTGAATATTAATTCAGATCAATGAACTAAAAACTGTAAACAGTGCAGAGTTCTTAATTGTAAATACTGTAATTTGAATATTTCATTTAATAACTGCATTTTTATATTTTTAACAATTGATAAAGTAATATCTTAAAAAAATTATATTTCATCACATTTTTGTTCTTGATAAGATTAATTAATATTTAATATCCTCTTTTTTAAGCTATTATATATACAGTAATTGTATTTTATATTTATAATTATTCATAATAGCCTGAAAAAGAATACAGTATTTTAAATATAAATACTTTTATATTATTTTCACATTAAAGTGGAAAATTTAATGAGTTATACATTTATAAAATATTTAATATTTGAATATTTTTTAATGAAATATTAATTTATTTCAGGATGGAGGAAAATAGCAAGGTAAGAAAAATATTTTATATTTTTGTAAAATGAATTAATTTCAAAAAACTGTAAATAATATAAATTAATTATATAATTGATAAATTTTTAATTAATGGATTATTATTTTCTTGTTACATGTTATNTTAAGATCAATTTGTTAAAATTATTATTAATAAAATAAATATTGAGCATTATTACTTTTTAAATTTAATAATTTCACAAGGATAATATTAACATTATTTGAATAATAACCCTCTTGATCCTAAGTCCCAATCAATTTCCTTACTTCTAAAATAAAATTGTGTTGTAGTTAAGTGTAGAGCAGTGTTTCCCAACGTGGGGCCAACTCCCTACAGAGGGGTAATTGGATTGTTAAGGGGGCCAATTCGAAAATGGACTCGTCCAGAGTTTAAGTTAACCGTATAGCCGCTGTATATGTTAGGGGGTATAAGAATTTCAGAAAGGCTTAGATGGGGCATAGTACAAAAAAGGTTGGAAAACACTGGTGTAGAGTGTAGATAATGCATTAGGCATAATATAACTATAGTCTGCGCAGCGAGAGAGTAGACTAGAGTTAATCTGAGCGGGAAAAGGTCTATGTCAGATGGAAAGACTGGAAGGGGCACCGTCAACTGGACAACAAAATATAAAATATTTTTCTTTATAAAATCGCCATTCTTTTCTATTAATCTACTACAATGGTGTGCGGTGACATTTGATGAGAGGGAAGTTGTGTTTCTGTAAGAAGCCAACTTCCAGGGGCAATCAGTTAATTGAGCATCAGTGATGGTCTAGGGCAGTGTTTCTCAACCTCTAACGAATCGTCGCCCCTTCAATAAAACCGTTACGTAGTATTGCCCCCTCCGCTTCAAAATTCCGATGCCGTGGGCCAAGGCTAACGCCAAATTCGTACTGCATTGAATAGACTAGTGACTAGTATAATGTTATTTGTTAATTATTGTACGATATAACGAATAAAATATCTAATTAATCTTAATATAATGTTTTACTATATCGCCCAGAAAATTGTTTTTCGCTCCCCAAAATATAAATTCTTACAAATCGCCCCCTCAACATGGAAAAACTCCCACATGGAGTGATATCGCCCTCGTCGAAGCACTGGTCTAGGGTCCATTCGTATTCGTTTGTTCAATAAGCCAGTAAAAACCGTAGACTTCTCTAAATGTATTCTTAATATCACAATTACATTCCGAATCGCTAGCCACGATATAAGGGCTAAAATTATAAATAAAATAATAAAAACTTACTTGGTGAAATAAAATGTGTTGTGGATGTACAGTACATACCTGGTACAAAATATTCTTCAATTATATTAATATACTTTTAAAGAAAATTATAATTAAATATAGCTTTGTAAAAAAAACGTAGAAAAANATTAGCTGTATACAACACGCATCTGATATCTCTCGTATAGAAATCCTTCAAGAATATGGAGGAATTTATTTAGATAACGATGTTTTTGTTGTTAAGTCACTACACGATTTTCGAAGATTCGAGTTCGTTATTAATTGCGATATAAACCAATATTTAGGGAATCAAGTGATAATAGCGCATAAGAATGCAAGATTTTTAAAATATTGGTACGATTCTTATAGGTATTACCGACCCGACAAATGGTATTATAATGGTGGTGAATTACCATCAAAATCGATTCTTTTCGTACGTCCAGAATTTGCACATAGAGTAGTTGGAGGATTTGGAGTGGATAATAGTTTAATTTACATGTTATACGGAGAAAGAAGCGAAAAATGGAAGAAATTTTACACGCTACATCTTTTAATACATCATCTTCATGATATATTTAAGGATCGCCCAAAGATTTTCGATGAAAATAACATTAAAACCTATAACAGAACTTACGGAGATATGGTCAGATCTGTTTTAAGATCTTTCGAATTCCCTGGACATACAAGATTAGAGACTCCTGTACATAATGTTACGATATCATAAACTAATAACTTATAATTGTAGCTTTAGAAGTATTAATATTGTATAATAAATAATGATAATTGCAACAATAAATTCGCTTTATTTTTATTAATTTTTGAGCCTTTGAAACCTGGGATTCCTATGCATTTGAGGCACGTTCCTCGTAGGTAATCTGTCCCTGTTGCAACAGTAACGTGCCGTGACATTTGATAATAGAAAAGCTGTGTTTTTGTAAGAAGCCGATTTCCAGGGGCAATAAGTTAATTGCGTGTCAGTGACAGTTTAGAGTCCATTCACATTCGTTTGTTCGATAAGCCAGTAAATTATAATTAAATATAGCTTTGTAAAAAAAACGTAATAAAAATAACATAAAATCTTCTTTACTTTTTAAATCTTAAAACAATGCACTTAGTCAAATAGCTCCCTTTGATGGCTAATGGATGGAATCAGAAACGGTCCTGGTAGGTGCATGCAAGCGGGCTGCCGATACCGGTCAATGTCAAATGCCTCTTTTGTCGCATCACTAGCATTACCAGTATCAAAGGACGAGACAGGGTAGTTGTACATTTTAAACGTTTCTCGCCATAGCTGTAAAAATCTAAATATGTTAAACTTAATAGATTGTCCGTCGTTTGTTTTCTAACTAATTTGTTTTAGGACCAGGGTCCACGGAAATTTCCACAATTTACAACTTTTCGGTCACTGTCATTGAACTGGAAAAATTTCTTTCTTTCTTACATCTAATATTGAGAAGAAATCAGTTCCCGGCTACTCTGGAACTGATTTCTAGATTTAAATTTACCGAGTAGTAGATCAGTTGAGTGCTGTCTTTGGAAGCGTTGGAAGCACCGCTTCCCTTGTATTTCTAAAATATAAATACATATTGCGCGATTATTATCATATTTTAACTACAGTACTTTAAATTAATTAAAATTAATATTTTATTATAACCGCATTATGTATGTTATTACAAATTAGTGAAGCATTATAATTAATTTTAAAAAATTTAAATTTCATGAAAAATTTTTACATTATTTTTAGAATTTAGAAGAGCTTTGTAGTTTTAAAGTAATTACATTTTTAAATTTCACCAGAAACTCCAAAGATAAATTTACTTGGCTTTAAGGAAAACTTTTGCTGCATCAGGTAAATTCATGCATCCAAAATAGAATTCAGTTAGACAGGTGGTTGCAGATGACTAATTTTGGTTATTTTTTCCAACTCCTAAATCACGGTTTAAAAACTTTATCATGTAGTACACACGTTCTTATAAATAAAAGAATATGTAATCTTTTAAATGCTTCGAATGCAATAGGGATCAAAATCGTTTCAGGCTACATTAATTGTACTTTTTGTGACTTCCCCTCCTAAGTCAGGAAAAGTCCAATTAATGCAGCCTACACAACGAGGAAGAAGGGGATTGAAGCATTGTCTACCCTCTTTCTCCCCGTGTAGACATTTTTTGTAATATAAGAACAAATTTGTATGCCACTAGTAAGCCCACTTACTAATCACACGAATAAACTATCAGTAAGAAAATATTTGAAGAAATGACTTTAAAAAGTTATGCAATTTCAGGAGGGTCCACGAACTATCTTACACGTAATTAAAGGATAGGAATTTGTCAAAAGATCGTCATTGTACACAACAGCGAAGGAGAGGAGCAAAATTGATGAATTAAACTATAAATTAAACGAAAAAGTTTAATTTGTAAATAAAAAAAATCCGTTGAACGCTGAAAATTTGAATTTTTAGCGTCAGTGTTTCAGGTTGCAAAATATGTTCGATTACACAAAATTCAGGAGAAATTAAGCAGGCCCGGAGAATTTGCGGTACAAATGATAATATGGAAATAGTTACAAAAGAGGAGTAGCATCTCAGCTGGAGACGACAATTGGAGAAATTCGTCAGAATGTGGGGATTTTGGGTTTTAAAAGTAAAATTGAAACATTGCTTTGTTCCTGATCAGTTTAATCACTTGTTCTGATCACTTGTTACATCGTGGCCCAGCAGTAGAAACGAGTCATTCTCGGTTATAGAATCAAGGAACCACGGTTTCGATTTTTACGAAACAGAGATTTAGTTAAAAAGGAAACCCGTTTATTTCCCTCGGCAGATCGCCCATGTGCTGCGTTGCGATAACCAAATAAACCGAAAACCAACTGTGTTTTAATTAAAACTTTTTCGGAATTGTCTCAGTTAAAAGCTGAATGGAAGCTTTATCATCACTTTATAAACATTATTTTTCTTTATTATTTTCCTTGCTGTATTATATACAACAGTATAGCGATCGGTCAAAAAATGACGCTCCAAAATTTTCACAAAAAATGTTGAGAAATGCAAAAATATTTGGGTTTTTTCCCCTGTGTGCATTGATGTTAGTGTAATGGATGTGTGTGGGTGAGTGGAAGGCACAATTTTGTTCATTAACTTTGATGCTTAATAATTCCCGCGCTTTTCGTAAATTCCGAAATTTTGCAGTGAGGTTTGTGTATTAGGGGATTGATGCTTAATAGCATCAATCCCTATATTAATAGCATCAATTTTGGTGGTTAAAGTCGAGGGGTGAGGAGATATAGGAGAGTCGTGGGTCATATCTTGACTAGGGTCTGACTTAATGAAGATTGTACTGATTAATAGCATTTACATTATTTATAAAATCATCTAACCCCTCAAAATTAACTTTACAGAAGAAAAAAATTGTACGATGTCGTATAAATTTTATGTTTTTGGACGTCAGTAGCGAAGAACGATATTTCACTACCGAAAATTTAATCAGTTACTGAAAAGTTACCGATAACGTAGTGACAGATATTTCTTCAATACAGCATTCTGTGATTGATGATTTTCGTGACTATGGCGAAGAACCGATCACAAAGACGACTGAGCGGTTAAGGTAGCAGCCTACCGCTCTGGAGGATCCCGGATCGAATTTGGACAGGTCGAAAAATCCCCAGGAATTTTTCGGGGGGATATGTCGGCCCCGTCCCTCACCAGCCGGCAGCCCCATTGTGGGCCTGGCCGAACCCATAATGGGTTTGCAAAAACAGACCCTCTTAGTGCCCACA